GACGTAGTACGTCGAGCGAAATAATCCAAACAAGGAAACACTCATGTATATACAGTATGTCTCAAATTGTAGATAACTAAATATTAATCCTGAACTAAGCAATCAAAAAATATAACTAGAAACAGTATGTCTCAAATTGTAGATAACTAAATATTAATCCTGAACTAAGCAATCAAAAAATATAACTAGAAAGTAAAGCATCAAAATCAGTATAGGTATCTCGTATACTCGCATAACCAAGTATCTCAATCAAATACCTCAACAATGAGTCGTGGTCACTTTTGGCATCTGCCAAACACTCAGATGAAAATCCTTTTGTAATATTATTGTGTCCCTGTGTAAAACAACATGATAGGTGTTTGCGTCATCGGTCGATTACAACAAATTCAAAAGAGATAGTCTTTTTATAAGACTTCTTTTACACAACAAAAGGAAAATTACAACTTTTTAGAAACAAACGCAGGATCGTTGTTTGGGTCGCTGCTTGCGTGGGATCTTTGCCTGTGCCGGGAGCGCTTTGACTCGTGGACCACCAAATCACAGATTCTGATTGAACCGTGAGGGGTTTAATGATTCTTCCTTCGTTTATCGAAGTAAGAATTTGAAGCGAATATCTTATCGATGTAAGATGTTCACTCTTCCAAAGATCAAGTCAGAGCTTAGATCTCTAGGACTGGTCAAAAGCTTTTTGAGGATGATTATGAAGAAGAAAGACTCTCTCTCTTGCTCTAATTCACCAAAATTCAAGGCTCTCTGCTCTAATCTCCCTGGAAAATGCTCCGCCTCTGTCAATGATGGCCATAGGGGGGTATTTATAGCCTCCTTGGACGATAACTGAAGAAATAGCCGATCAGCAACTAGCCCTTTAGGCGCGGCAGTTGATGCTGTCGTGGCTAAAGGGCGCGACAGTCGACACTGTCGCGGCTAAAGGGCACGACAGTCGACACTGTCGTGGCCAAAGGGCGCGACAGTCGACACTTCCGCGGCTAAAGGGCGCGGCAGTCAACACTACCGCGGCTAAGGCGGGCAGCTTACACCCACGTTCATACGTGTTTGAAACTGTTCTCCCACGACTTTAACCACCTTCTTCGTGGTTTTAACTGCTCTTCCACGTCAGCACACGTTTTATCTCTGATATGCCGCCACGTGGACTTCAAATATCATCGAATAACTGCCATATAACTGCAACAACATCTTCTTGTAATAGCCGCGGACCATAGTTGCAGCGGTTAAGCCGCGGCACCATAGGCTGCCGCGCCTTAGCCGCCGCACCATGTGCCCGAGAAGATTCATGTTGGTTCTATCTAAAGCGACTGCGTCCCATCGTCGTGGCGGCGGCTTACTATAAAATTTGCTTGTGGCCGGCATCATCGTGTGACGGCCGTGGGGGTCCAACTGGCGAAAATAGGAACCTCCGTGCGCTTGCGAGCTATTTGATAACATTGTCTAGAACCAGTGTCATGCGCGCCTCAGCCGCGGCACCATGTCCTGCCGCGCTGCCATGTAGTTGCTTGATGATGTGTATAATGTTCTTCTATGTTATCTTGAGTGGTGTTTGAACGTCTGTAAGCATTTTTTGACGCCTACAATAGGAATATAGATTCCTACACAATCTATACGGAAACAAAGACATAGGTTCACTGACCTCAGCGCACGCTCATGCGGGTAACTAAACGTAGATTCAAAGACCCCAGCGCACTATCATGCTATCAATAAACATAGGTCCATCGACGCCAGCGCACTATCATGCGGATAATAAACACAGGTCCATCGACCCCAGCGCACTATCATGCGGATAAACAAGTGTCATAGGTTCATCGACCTCTTCGCACGCTCGTGCGGATAAACAAGTGTCATAGGTTCATCGACCTTTTCGTACGCTCGTGCGGATAAACAAATATTTGAAATGGAGTGAAATTCATCATGGTCTCATTTGCGGTGTACTAACTCACTAACTCAAAAGTTTAATCGTAACAATGTTTTATCATAATCCCCTAGGAATACTCACGTAAGTATTATAACATATTCATGACTATAAGTGTAACAATCGAGCGGCTCAAACTCCACGAACACATCTCAAAACAGAGCAAACAAACTCCAGAAAATAAGAAACT